TAAAGAACAGAAACGTATCATCTGCGAAAAAAAGGTGTGAAATTCCCAGTGCTCGGTTGCATATTTTGAGGTTGGAACTCCTGTGACTCCACTCCTTGTCGCAACAGTGCAGACAATCCATCAGCAACAAAGAGGAACAAGAAAGCGGATACGGGATCACCTTGCCGAAGCCCACGCGTCGGTGCAAACGAATCCAAAATGGCTCCATTGAATTTAACTGAATATCTCACCGAGGTTACACATGTCATTATCCACTGAACCCATTGATGAGAGAAGCCCAACTTTTCCATCGCCTGCTTCAAGAACCCCCAATCCACCCTGTCATATGTCTTTGATAGATCAAGCTTGTATGCACAAAAATTGTTCTCGGGATTTTTCTCATGCTGAAGAAAATGTAGACACTCAAAAGCTAGCAGGGCATTATCAGTGATCAAACGCCTTGGGACAAACGCACTCTTGGTACGGAGAGATAATATCATCCAGTATGGGACGGAGGCTATTCACCAAACATTTGGCCACAATTTTGTAAATGACGTTACAAATACTTATAGGTCTGAAATCAGTGAGGCGGACCGGGTCATCCACCTTAGGGATAAGCACAATTACCGTCTCATTCACCCCCTCAGGCATGCAACCAGTCTGAAAAAAATCATGTACCACCTTCACAATTTCCGCCTTCATAACTAGCCAATTTCTTTGGAAGAACCTTGCTGGAAATCCATCCTTCCCCGGTGCTTTTAGAGGCCCCATTTGAAAGAGACTATCAGATATCTCCTTCTCACTAAACTCTGCACATAATTGTTCATTCATACCGGGTGTAACCTTCTCCTCGTATAGGTCCAGTAGTGACTGCTGCTCAAGAGTGGTATCACAAGTAAACAAAGTTTGAAAATAGGACGTGACCATGCTGCTCAGTACCTTATGATCGCCATGGCTACAGCCCTCATCATCAATTAATCGTTTCACTTTGTTCTTGCGCGCTTGCCACACCGCGCGGCTCTGAAAAAATTTGGTATTTCGGTCTCCCTCGCGCAGCCAATCAACCCGACTCCGTTGCATCCATAACATCTCCTCGCGGTACAGCAGCTCCTGCATATGATCGCTAACCTTCCTTATCTCATTTCTATCAGCATTCATCCTTATAAGTTCCTCCAAACGTGTTCTGGACTGCTCAAGTTCCTTAATAATATTCCCAAATTTTTCCTTACCCCACGCGTGGAGCTCCATCATAATTTTTGCAAGGCTAGACCGGATGTCCCATAGACTGAATTTCTGTCCAACCTTTTCCCATGCCGCAGCAACCCGTTCAGGTAAGCTCTCATCTCTTTCCCAATAGGTTTCATATCGCCGAAAGTTAGTACGGATGTTGTTTCGTTCCTCCTTTATGCACTTCAACATAAGTGGACTATGATCAGAGCATGGAGAAACCTTGTTTACCACACGAGCTTCAGAGAAAATATCCCGCCACCGGTTGTCGGCAACTGCTCTATCCAGCCGTACCCGTACATTCTTGCGTCCCTTCTGCTTATTTTCATATGTAAATGGTAAGCCAGAAAAACCAAGATCAATTAAACCACATACCTCGAGGGTATCCCGGAAAGCCAACATCTGAGCTTCATTACATGGTGTCCCGGAAAAGTGTTCAAAAGACCACAGTGCCTCGTTAAAATCCCCAATGACACACCACGGAAGGTCAGACTGCTGTTTCAGATTTTGCATAATTGTCCACATGTTGTGACGGTTTTCTGTTCGTGGTTCGCCATAGACACACGTCAACCGCCACAAAGGATCATGATCAGAAAGCCTCACATATGCATCAATATATCTTTCATTAGATGACTGAACTTCTACATGCAGACTATCACACCAAAAAAGAGCTAGACCTCCACTAAGGCCATTAGAGCTAACACCAGAGAAACCTCTTAGACCTAACCTACCATGCAAGCGCTTCACTTTTTCAGAACTCTGCCTAGTTTCACATAAAAAGACTATCTTAGCTTGAGATGATTTAACCATGCCAACTAACTCACGAACTGTCGGTTTGTTGGCCGCCCCCCGACAGTTTCAGCTTAGGCAATTCATTGCTCCTGACGGGGCGCCACATACGGCCCCGTCAGTTTACCGGCGGCCCCTAGGCCGGTTGCCTCCATATCCACCTCACACACCCTGTTGACCTCCTCATCCACTAGCCTTACAACACCATAGTCCGGCTGCAAATCAGCTATCATCTCTGTATCTGCTCCCCAAAAGGGTGTGGCACAATTTTGAAATCTTTCTGGTTTGGCGTTGTTTTCATCCTTCTTCTGAAAGAAGACTCTGCTCTGTTGCTCAAGGCTACATTCAGGCTCAAACTCTTCCTGGCTCGGCAACGCCGGCACCTCATCATGTGCAGTCTGTATTGCCTTGTCCGTCCACTGCTCAGTTATATCGACAGCAACTGCATCCGGGTTCTCCGTCGCAGGATCCACATGTTCCCCATCGGTCAGCTTCGGGCGGGCAGCATCCTCAAAGGGAGCCCCATAATCGCCCCCACTAGCCCTCAGGTTCGTAGAGGCCCCGGACACGATCCCCACGGGTAGCACAAGGGGGGCCAGTGCCACCGCTCTGTTCGTGTTCACAAATCGCTGAACTGGTGCACGAGGCCGGTCAGGAGGATCGCATGCCTTGGGCTTAGGCTCTTTGATCGCCCAAGGGTTCCTTACACCAGCGCACGTCTTCCCATCGCAACCCTTGCCGGATTCCTGCCGTCGTTTGTACTTCGAGCAGCACATGGTTTCCTTCCCGATCTGATCTCCAACGGGACTGACGGGGACACGTGGTTCCCGCGGTGTGAGGGCGGACGAGGCCGCAACAGGGCCATAGCACGCCAGTGCGGCGCGCATGGCAACATCGCCAGCCACATGGGACCTAGGTCCGGCGGCGGCAGCGAGGCGGGGCCGGGGCCAAGGGCGGCGGCCGCGGCGGGGTGGGGCCATGGCCGGGGGCGGCGACCGCGGCGGGGCGGGGCCGAAGGCGGCGGTCGCGGCGGAGCGGGGCAGTTTTCCTGCTAGGAAATGATGCCCTCTTTGATTTGTCGTTTTTTCAAAATACATGAAAAGGAAAAATGCCGGAGTAGAGTAACATGTCCTTTTATATTCTGTAGGATTACGAAACTACAGAAATTTAGATAGAAATGAATTTGATAGCCCAGACAAACAAAGAAATTTTTGCAAGAGGTTTGAGTGGATGGATTTTTTTTCCCATCAAAATAGAGTACAAATGAATTCTATGAAAAAAAAAACCGCAAGATCTCCCAAAACTGTTTTTTTTGGCTGATTGGTTTATTAACGAAGTAAGATCGGAAAACATGACTTTACGAATTTTACTGGCAATAACACTATTTTACAGTAATTTTTTTTGCGTAAACCATTGGTTGGTGGAGAGAGTATATTGAGCACGTTCATGAGAAATGGGTCTCACTTTTTGCAGATATGGTGTAACGGTTCGTGAGACACAGCTTTGTCGCATGACTTCCGCATCAGGTGGCACGATTAATCACATAATCGACGAACAATGTTACAATAATTCATAGATAATTCATTTGACAATCAAAGTATTCTACATTTTCTAAAATAATTATTTATTCATTTAGCGAGCGAGAGGATTAATTAGCCACGTGACCAAGAAACAACACTGCATCTGTCCCCTCCTCTACCACGGCAAATAAGAAAGGCCGATCCGCCACAAAATCTTCCCCATGCCCCGGTCCTGCACTACCAAACCCGGTGATGGCCGTGGCAGCGGCGGCCACGGTGCCTAGCTCGTCCACCTCGATGGTGGCCTTATGGTAGACCCATTGATGAAAAGCCCTTCCCCGCCAGTCATCATGCTCGAGAAGTCGCCGCCTTCGAAAGCCCTAGTGACACCAAGCTTCCGCATGTCGGATGACGCTTTGAACTCGGACGTGAACTTGAACTTGGGGACCATGAATCGCCCGACTGGAACCTTCCCTGTCGGGCTGTGCGTCTTGATGAACTCCCGTGTCGACACGGCCTTGTCGTACAGATCGGCGAGACTAACAGTGTCCCTGTCCGGTAGTAGGATAAGCATGTAGTAGAATTCAGCTTACTGCTGCACGTCGTTATTGTACGGCAGCCTGACCGGCTTGTGGTCATGGATGGCACGCGCACGGTGGAGACGTCGAACGGCCGTGACGTCTTGTGGTCATGTACCCTTTGACGTAGAGCGCGTTCGCAAGGACAAACTCCATACGTGGACGAGTCGACGGAGCCAGGAGGGAGGACTTCGCGGATGTGCTTGTTGGTCGCGTCTGCCATGAAGGCGTTCACGCTCTGCCTCGCCTGCTCGGCCCCCGACATGAAGTCCACTGATTCCGCCGCGGCATTGTACGGTGACGCGGCGGTGGCCGTGAACTCTGGCTTTGAGCGCCAGCCTCCGGTCCACCCACACCCGCTGGCGAAGGATGTCTGCACTATGCCGTTGAGCCTGCCGACGAGCTCAGTCGCCACCACCAGGATTCAAGTCTAGGTGCTCGGATTATTTCGGGATTTATTTCAGAAACTCCGCGATGCGCTTTGAGTGGGAGGAGATGTCCCATTGGTGACTTCGTAAATCTCAAAATGATATCCCGCCTCAATCTCTTGAAGGTGCTCTCATGGGTAGGGTGTGTGTGTATATGTTGATAGGGATGAGTGTAGGCGTGTATGTTTGAGCACTTGCATTTGTACTATGTTTAAAAAACAATTTATTTCATTTTATCTTGACACATCTATTTCTCCAACAAGTATTTTCGGACCGAGCGAGTAATAGATAAAGAAGATACATGTCAACTCCAAAACGACTCAACTAATGCCCAACACGACGCGACCTAGTACAGCTCCAGTTTTCAGACTCAAACACAAGAAACCTAAGGCGTTGCGACTACGTCATCACATGCTCCCAACTCCGACTCCAAATTGACTAGAATGACAACGCAAGTCACCACAAACCTAAGCCTATGCTCACATATCTATTGAACGATTATGTCTACGGCGGCAATCTCTCCCATATGGAGATGAATGGTCACAAGCACAGCAACATGAGTTGAGCTTAGGGCTATACGTCTGGTCGAGGATCACGGTGAGTGCCAGGACGAACGCCTGGTCGACTTCCTGGCTGATACTTACAGTATACGTGTTATGTCCAAGCATCGCGCACCACAGAGAACTCTCCCTGCCGATCTCCGCAATGTCGGCAATGTCAATGTAGTTATCTTTTTCGTTGCGGCGGGACACGGTCATGGCGCCGCGGTAGTAGCTGCCACGGACGACGAAATCGGGTTTCTCGTCGCGGGGGCTGTTGCCGGCACGGAACACGTGGAGCGTGATCCCCATCTGGAAAAACCGCGTCATGTCCACGGCGACGAACAGCAAATCGCTCCCGTTGGTGCCGTGCCCCCTGAACGCCTTCCACTGCCGCTGACCCATGCTGCTGATCATGGCCTCCTGGAGGGTGATCAGCGGGCTGGGTGAGGCAGCGTCGCGGCAGAGCAGGCAGCTTAGGTTGCGGACGCCCACTTCGGTGGTCTCCACCTCCATCACGGCCGCGGCGCCGGCGGAGTCCGTGACGGTGAATCCGGCACCCTTGGAGGTGAAGCATTTGGTCACCGTGAACTCCGTCTTGGTCGGCGCGTGGAACTTCTCGTCAACTATCGCCGCCGTCTGGTCCGACGACTCCATGATCGACTCGCTGCCCATCGTCGTCGTGAGGAGGATGGAACGTGCTGGCTTATCAAGATGGTTTAGATCGGGAGGAGGGTGGCAGTACTTGGGTACAGAAGCCGATCGAGGAGGCTATGCTATGTACTCCCTACGGAGGGAGTATGTATATGCCGTCGTTGAGGATCGTTTCTTGTTGTACAAGATGTTCTCTCCTAGGACGGGACGGACTCGTGTCTAATTCTAGCGTAATCAGATTACGCTACGACACATAACCGTTTATCTTTTTTTTTCTGAGACAATTTGTATTCTGTCCCGGCGCAACTCCATTGCCTAGCAAGGTGTTGTGATCGTTTTTCTGTCCCTCCGTATCATTCTGATTACGACAGGTTTTGTTCGTCTGCAAAGTCAACTAGTTCCAGGAAACAATGAAGCTCGTAAGTTGGAATTGTCGGGGCCTTCTCGGTGCCCCGACAGTTCGCTCGCTTCTGGACATCCAGAGGCAAAATAATGCAGATGCTTTTTTTTTGTCTGAGACGCACTTCAACGAGGATAAGGCAGAGGCTCTGATGAGGAGGATGGGAATGGAAGGAAGGATGGTTTGCTATTAGTCTGGAAGAAGGGTGGTTTAGCTGCATTGATGTGTCGGTGGAGGAAAGTGATGGCAAACTGTGGAGGTTAACGGGAGTGTATGGTGAACCAAACCGGGACAATTAGGAGAGGACGTATCATCTCTTGCGCGATCTCCATGCTCAGTCCACTCTCCCGTGGGTGGTGATTGGTGATTTTAATGAGATTCTATTCTCGTCGAAAAAGGATGGAGGAGCCCCTCGGCAACACAGTCGGATGCAAGATTTTCAGGATGCGCTTATGGATGGTTCCCTCGAGGATATTGGCTACCATGGTGATAAGTTCACCTTTTGCAGAGGAGAACTAAGGGAATTGCTCGACCGAGCGGTGTCGAATGCAGACTGTATGGAGATGCACCCATTATGCAGATTGAGTAACTTAAAAATGGGCAAGTCGGATCACAGACCTATCTACTTGGATACTGAGTATTTGGCCGGTGTAGCTTCACCGAGCCCTAGTGCTGGTCGCAAGTTCGAATCAAGATGGCTAGCAGAAGAAGCGGTTGAGGAAGTGGTAAAAACTGCATGGCTAAAGGCTGTTACTCGTGGGCTTTGTCCTACGGCCAGCGATAAACCTGCTGTTGTCCATAAAGAACTTGATACGTGGAATCACAAGGTTTTCAAGGGAACGCGCCATAGGTTATGTTGAGCTCAGCGGGATCTAGATATGCTCATGAGAGAGCCATATAGTTCAGAGGTGGGGGCAAAACAGCAGGATCTCTCGATGTTGATAGAGAATCTCCTAGAGCAGGAGGAGATATACTGGGCCCAGTGTGGTCAGGCGAACTAATTGCGCCGCGGTGATTGTAACATCAATTTTTTAACCAGTTTCAATAATTCATTCGACAACCAAAGGATTCCACCTTTCATAGAATAATTATTTATTCATTCAGCTAGCGAGAGAATTAACCACGTGACCAAGGAACAACACTGCATATGTCCTCTCCTCAACAAGCACAAATAAGAAGGGCCGGTCCGCTAAAACATCTACTACATGTCGTGGTCCCGCACTAGTAAGCCCCATTACGGCGTTCGTGGCAGCGACGACCATGGTGCCTACCTCGTCCACTTCGATGGTGGCCTTATGGTACACCAGGGTGGTGGTGATGACCGCCTCCCACTGTGGCGCCGCCATTGTGCACATCGACAAAAAGAGGGGCACCTTTTGGGCCGCGCTGAGGCTGATCCGCCAAAAAATCTACTAGATGCCGTGGTCCCGCACTAGTAAGCCCCATTACGACGGCCGTGGCAGTAGCAGCCATAGTGCCTACCTCGTCCACCTCGATGGTGGCCTTATGGTACACCCGGGTGACGGTGATGACCGCCTCCCATCGTGGCACCACCATTGTGCACATTGACAAGATTCAGCAAAGAAGTATTAATATCAAAAGTCTCCGCACTAGTGGTGGGAGGAGCAAGTGGAGTGCCAATAAAATCATTGTTGTTGGTATTTGAGAAATCACATAATTTGGTGTTCTCTTGAGTCATCATGACAACACAAGAAGATTGCACTCAAAAACAGACCCAACAAGAAAACGGCGAATGAAAAAGAGAGGTGAATAAAACGGCAATTTTTTGTGAAGCGGGGGAGAGGAAAACGAGAGTCAAATGGAAAATAATGTAAATTGCAAGGAGATGAGATTTGTGATTAGGAACCTGTTATATGTTGAAGATTCTCCCCGGCAACGGCGCCAGAGATTCCTTTTGATGTCGCTTGAAGCTATGTCGGTATTTCCCCAAAGAGAAAGGGATGATGCAGCACAGCGGTGGTAGGTATTTCCCTTAGATATGAAACTATGGTTATTGAACCAGTAGGAGAACCAAGCAACGCAATGTAAGCATCCCCTGCACACAGATAACAAATCATTGCAATCCGCCGTGTTAAAGGGATTGTCAATCCCTTTCAGGTAACGGTGCTAGAAATTGTTGCGTGACGGGAAAAAGTTGTAATAGATTGAATAAATAGATCACAAATAAAATAAAGTGTAGCAAAGTATTTTTGGGTTTTTGGATTAATAGATCTGAAAATAAAAGCAAATAAAAGTAGATCGCAAAGGCAAATAATATGAGAAAGAGACCCGGGGCCGTAGGTTTCACTAATGGCTTCTCTCGAGAAAAATAGCAAACGATGGGTGAACAAATTACTGTTGGGAAATTGATAGAACTTCAAATACTCATGACGATATCCAGGCAATGATCATTACATAGGCATCACATTCAAGATTAGTAGACCGACTCCTACCTGCATCTACTACTATTACTCGACACATCGACCGCTATCCAGCATGCATCTAGTGTATTAAGTTCATGGAGAAACAGAGTAATGCAATAAGAACGATGACATGGTGTAGACAAGATCTATCTATGTAGAGATAGACCCCATTGTTTTATCCTTAGTAGGAACGATACATACATGTCGGTTCCCCTTCTGTCACTGGGATCAAGCACTGTAAGATCAAACCCACTACAAAGCATCTCTTCCCATTGCAAGATAAATAGATCAAGTTGGCCATCGGATAAGAAATACGAGGCTATAAGAAATGATGCATAAAAGAGATCAAAGAAACTCAAATACTTTCATGGATATAAAAAATAGATCTAATCATAAACTCAAAGTTCATCGATCCCAACAAACACACCGCAAAAGAGTTGCATTATATGGATCTCCAAGAGACCATTGTATTGATAATCAAGAAAGAGAGAGAGATGAAGCCATCTAGCTACTAACTACGGACCCGAAGGTCTACAAAGAACTACTCACGCATCATCAGAGAGGCACCAATGGAGGTGGTGAACCCCATCCGAGATGGTGTCTAGATTGGATCTGGTGGTTCTGAACTCTGCGGCGGCTGGATCAATATTTCATCGATTCCCCTAGGGTTTTGGGAATATTGGAGTATTTATAGAGCAAAGAGGCGGTCCGTGGGGCTCCCGAGGTGGGCACAACCCACTAGGGCGCGCCTGGGCTGGCATGCCCTGGTGGGTTGTGCTCCCCTCGGGGCTCCCCCAGGCGCAGCCAGGGCCCGTTGTGTTCCTTTTGGCCATAAAAATTCTCTATAAAGTTTCGTGGTATTTGGACTCCGTTTGATATTGATTTTCTGCAATGTAAAAAACATGGAAAAAATAAGAACTGGCACTTGGCACTTTGTCAATAGGTTGGTACCAAAAAATGATATAAAATGACTATAAAATGATTATAAAACATCCAAGATTGATAATATAACAGCATGGAACAATCAAAAATTATAGATACATTGGAGACATATAAGTTATATGATCTTGCAAAGCAATATGACAATCAAAGCTCAAGTCATCAAACGGAAGCGGTGGAAGTTGCATGATAATATATCTCGGAATGGCCATGGACAAGCTATCTTACGATCATGCAAAGCAATATGACAATAAATGATCAAGTCGTGTATATGATGATGATGGAAGTTCCATGGCAATATATCTCGGAATGGCTATGGAAATGCCATGATAGGTAGGTATAGTGGCTGTTTTGAGGAAGGAATAATGAGGCTTATGTGTGATAGAGCTTATCGTATCACGGGGTTTGGATGCATCGGCAAAGTTTGCACCAACTCTCGAGGTGAGAAAGGGCAATGCACGGTAACGAAGAGGCTAGCAATGATGGAAGGGTGAGAGTGCGTATAATCCATGGACTCACATTAGTCATAAAGAACTCATATAATTATTGCAAAAGTTTATTAGCCCTCGGAGCAAAATACTACTACGCATGCCCCTAGGGGGATAGATTGGTAGGAAAAGACCATCGCTCGTCCCTGACCGCCACTCATAAGGAAGACAATCAATAATAAATCATGCTCCAACTTCATAGCATAACGAGAGCTATACGTGCATGCTTCGGGAATCACAAACCTTAACACCAATATTCTTACTAAACACAACCGTCTACTAGTACCTCCCACATATTCCATCTCTATATCGCAAAACTATTGCAAGGAATCAAACATATCATATTCACTGATCCATAAGTTTTATGTAGGATTTTATGACTAACCATGCAATTGATCAATTCCTTTTAACTCTCTAAATAGATATAAGTGAAGCAAAAGAGTAATTCTTTCTACAAAATACCATGCTCCAATAAAAGCAAAAGAGCATTCTTCAAACAACGGTTTTCTATGTAAAGAGAAACAAACAATCCAAACTTCAAATGATATAAGTGAAGCACATGAAGCATTCTATAAAGCCACACTCAAAATATATAAGTGAAGTGCAATGAGCATTCTATAAATCAACCATGGACTATCTCATACCAGCATGATGCTTAAAATAAAAATGAAAAATAAACACAAAAGACGCTCGAAGATTCACACATATCACATGAACGAAACGAGAACGAAAACATATCGATTCTTGTTGAAGAAAGATGGGATGCCTTCC